ATTTTCATCATAATAATGTTTATGATGATCAATTCCTTCTTGGCAACCTTTAACAAGGACTCTTGTCACATGCAGAGATCTTGCCAGTAACAGCTTTGAAAATTTATATTTTCCCTGCTAATCCAAAAGCCTGAAGCCATCAATTTTAATCACTGATTTTAAACAAACAAAAAAACCCCAACCTGCCAAGCTAAACAAAACAGGGAACCTACACAAAGTTTGTAGAACAAAACAGCTGTCAAATTAATAACACAAAACAGTTTTCAGACCAGTGTGTGGTCGCTCATATAACACAGCACATTTGAGTACAAAGATGGAGATGAATAAATTGCATGTTTTCATTTATATTCTCAAGAAGAAAAGCTGACTTGATTGATTTTCAGGGAAAAGGGTGTGAAAGAGTAGACAAAACCCACCAAGCAACAGTATATGCTGCGGTGCACGGGATTGCTCGGTCCCCACATGCACCCTATTCCCAAATTATTTCACAAATTCATGTTTAACATGATCAGAGTTTGAGAGTTATTGAAAATGGAAATGAACTAATAAGTAAAAGCAGATATTGGTAACACATCAGTGACCAGGCTACGTGAAAAGAATAACACATACATAGCTGTTCTGCATTGATAAAACAAGAAAACAACAACCACAAAGTATTTGAAGATAATTAAATTGAGAGTCTCCAGAGAACTTAAGTCCAGGCTCTTTGGTCCAGCTTCTTTCTCAGTATGAAACAGACCTCTTCAGCATCCAGTCCCAACATAATTCGGGGTTTTCTTGCCACTGAAAACATTCAATGTCCTTGGGCAACAAACACCCCTGCAGCTTTCTTGTAGCAAGTTCCTACATAACTTCAGATTTAACCTTAAATTTCTAGCCAAACAGGAATTTTTCCTACCACTTGTCTACAAGGCAGAATAAGTAGTAAATGAAACAGCTACAGAGAATCTTCTGTTGCAACTCAGCTACTGGATTGCTAGATAGATGTGAAATGGTTGGAACCTCTTGCAGAAGGATTGAGCACCCGGGATGTGTGCACCTTGGTCTAAGCTGTGTTACTCCATCTCTATGCAACTTGTGAAAAGTAATTTGAATTCTCAGTGTATTAGATTTATCTTTAAAATGGACATAACCCCTATTTTATCTCATGGGAATAGTCTCAGGCTTTAGCAACCCCTGAAGAACCTCACAGGGAGAAAGTATGTATATAAAAAAATCTCAGAAATGCCAGAAATTATTCTATAAACCAAGTGCACTGGCTGCCCCTGCAAAAAGTCTCACAATTATAGTAGTAGCGAGCAAAAGCAATGGACTCTCAAGCTGATGAAGCTCAAAAGCAACTCGGCGTAAGCAGGGAGGGCTGGAATCCAGAGCAGAGCGACAGCTCCATCTAACACAACAGGAAACTGCGATTCCTTCTGTAAACACCAGCGGTGAGGTGGGAGGAAACCCAACTTCTGCATAAACAGCCAGGCTGGAGCCCCGGGGCTGGAGGAACGCAGCCCTGTGAGGAGGAACACGCTGTTCCAGGAGCAGCATTGCCATATTAATACAATGCCGAGCCCGGGCTCATCGCAGGAGATGACAAATGAATCGTAAGCCAGCAGCCCGATGACAAAGCCGCGCGGCTGCGGGTGGCCACGCCAGCACCGCTCCCCAGGCGTGCAGTGCCCGAGGATGAGGAGGGAGGGAAGGCAGGGTGAAGGCAGATGCTCAGACACACACACATAAAAAAAAAAGGTGAAGAGCAATTTGGGACAAGGGGAAAGGGTGCTGAGCTTGAAAACATCATGAACGGTAGTCCTGTCTGAACTGGAAACTTTAAGAAATGTAAGTCAGGTAGTTATGGAAAAGAGTCTGCCCGATTTCCTGCAGACAGATGAAAAGAATATTTCAGGCAACAGGTTAAAGCAGACGTGGTATTCTCTTCTTTGCAGCAGGCTGAAAATATAACAGATGAGTCAGGAATAATTTCTCCTCTCCTTTTTCCAGCCCTGCTCCATTTATGTCCCTTCCAACTCAGGTCATCACTCGGCTCTACCTCCCAGCTCTACTCATGGCAGGCAGAGAACCAGCAAAACATCCCCCAAATGCCTGTTAGGTAACAACAATGCAGTGATTCCTATATCCTACATGTAACCAACAGCTGTCTGATCTCAGAAATTCCTCTTTATGTTATAAAAACATGAAGACTGCAGTTAAACTATGTGAGAAACTCTCACGTTGAATCTTTACAAGAAATCTCTGCTCTTTAAGAGAGACCTAGTTTCAACTTCCAGGAACCCTGGTATGAAGACATCAGGGAATAAGAACAAGTTCTTGTTTTCATGCTTTTTAAATACTTTTTTCTCTAATGAGTAACCTAAAAAAAGCCTCCTAAGATGCAAGTCTAAAAACAGCCTCCTCAGATGCCGCTTCTCTGCAGCTGGAGAAGGACACTGATTTCACCAATTTGCTGCGGCAGGACTTCCAGTGACACAGAGATGATACACAGAAGGATCAAATCTATAGAAGAAACCTCAAAACAGTAATAAAACACACACACCTCTCCTACTCTGGGGCTTGGTAATTGCACGATACAGAAATTCAGCATACTATACTGCAAAAGCCACAGTACCCACGTACTGAACAGATCCCTCAGCCTGTCAGTCGATTCTTTAGAGTGTTCAGATTTGTTTTAATGTAGACACCAGAAATCACTGAGTGTTTGGGAAATGAAACTGGAATTACTCAGATGGTCTTTCTGCTGTCCTATTTTGAGCACTACAGAAAGGAGGTGGCACTGCCACTGGTGAGCCAGGCACCGCCACGCAGCGCCCTGCTCCACTGCATTTATAGTTTCTCCTTAGAGATTAAAAGAAGAGCAGGTTTCCATTTCACTCTCTTGGATATGTGTATTTTTATGATATTTAGAGTTCTAATTATTATATTTGCTGCTCCTCTATCAACATCAACTATTTACATAGCGTTTTTTCAATCAGCAAATCTATTCAGCTTTATTTTATGGATCATCTGAATATTTTTTGTATTTTATTTATAAGCAGTCTCTGCTTGCCCACTTTTACTGTCTGAATATAAAAGAAAACAAGGGTGAGCCAAGCTTCACCTTTATAGACAGAGGTCTACATACAGATCTCTGATAGAGAATGGGCAGACAAACCAACCAGTGCATATGTTGTCCTGGAAAAAGGAATGAATCACCCCTTTAGCACCTCAAATGTTGAAGATTGCTGGGGGGTTGGGGGTGGGATGTTGGGAGGGAAGAACGTTGCTTGGGTTTCTCTTCCTTACTCCTGCTCGGTCCACTTACTTCTTTCCTTCTCCAAAATGACTTTCTGCAGATGCAGATTGACAGATCATCGATGCTGTTCGCAGAACGAAGCCAAAACTGTAGTCTGCAAGTTTAAGAAATCAAGTAATGGAAAAGAAAAGTAATGGAAAGTGGAGAGGCAATGCTGGCAAGGGGCAGAAAAAGGAGCAGGGACTCATAAAAGCTCCATTTGCTCTCAGCTCTGCTACTGGCTGACCTTGAGCAAAGCTCTTTATCTTCCCCTGCCCTAGATTCACTATCTGTAAAATGGGGTAACGACATCAGCCTCTGGAAAAATATTGTGAGCTTCTCCTAATGCTCTGCTACATAAACTATTTCAAATTTAAGACCACTGGATAACTTCTATGCATGGTTACTAGATTTAATACCCATTCTTTTATCCGCCAGTTTGTCAATAAAAATATGTGCAAATCCAATTGCTACCAGAAACATCGAGTGGTTTTTAATTCCAACCGCCACAGCTCTGTCTGATCAATATTTCTAATACTAAGTCTGCAAAATTGTTTATGGGATCTCTTGATAGCATATCCCTCTCTCCCATCTCACCAAAAAAAGGCTTTACAAGAGCAGGGAAAATGGAAAGGCTGAGAAAATCTGATAGAATTTGATGGGGAAAAAAATGACAGACACAAGAATGTGGTTTGATTAACTAGTTAACATAAAAAATTTTACAGGGTACCTACAGCACAGCGATGCCACGACACTCAGCACAGCCCCAGCACTGGTGCCATTGCTCACACCAACAGGACCAGTTACCACCCTGGTGCCAGCCTGCAGAGTCAGTGTGTGATAAAGGCAGAGGCTAACAGATCTATTTGCCCATATATTTGTTTTTTGGGGGTTTTTTTTGCAGTGTGCATACGCATGCACACATTTTTGTCTCCAAAAACAAGCTCCTGGCGGAGCACTCGCAACATATTGCACGACCCAGCTGGCTCCCAGCCTTGTGCTTTGTCTTATCAGTGCGCCAGGGTATCTGATATTAACCCAGAAATTCAAGAGTTACCCTGTCTGTCTGCCTAATTCATCTCCAGTCACTAAAATGTGGTAGCTAAGATCTTCTCAATTCACTAAACTTTAAAATAAAATAACTAGTCACCTGTGTCCCATCTTACAAGCTTAAGATATAAGTCTCCTGTTACCTACAGATATGAGGTGTAGGTATATATCTTCAGTTCGTATAAGATCAATGCATTATTTTATAGCCCTTCAATACAGGGGAGTTAAGACTTATTTTTGAATTATATTATTCTCTTTGAGGCAGGTGAATCAATTTGGGAATCACAACAACCTGTATCCACAAGGCAAAATAAAATCTGTCTTTTTTTTCTACATCCTGAACACAGTCTCCAAAATAATACTAGATATTCACTTGGACCCAGTTAGAAACGCTGTGGGACTCGCTGCCAAGTCCAGCCAGGGATCCTAGAGGCCCCAGCAGTTTATGGGAGTGAGGACTGACTTTATTTACAACGAAAGTTAAGTTCCACAGTACCCCAGTTTCTATTTCTAACGTCGCTTTCTTTCACTCCAAGCACACGTAAATTCACATTTGAAAAATATTTTCCAGCTTCTCCTATTTCTTGGATGGCAGATTCTTTCCTTTAACTGCTGAGGACGCTGCCTCCATCATATCCAAACTCTATTTAATAAGACTCCTGCTGCTTACTCATGCCTTTAAGTATTCCTGTCCAGTCCACAGGTACCTTTAAATTTCAAAGCCCAGAAGATGAAAGAATCGAATCTTTCCTTGTTCCAAATCTGTATTTACCGACCTGACTGTTTGAGGTCTAGAGACTACGGAATTACTGCTGGCTCCCCGGGAAGGACATCGAGATGTGGAGAGGGGAAAAGGTAAGCTTCTTCAGACAAACCACTTCTTACAGTTCCCTCCTCTCAGAGCTGAATACTTGGCTATGGAAAAGCTTTTTAATCCCACACTTGGGAATTGGTTCTCTTCTGGAAATATGTTGCTATTTATTTCCATTGCCTTCAGCTGCCTCTTCCCTCCTCCCTCTCCTTCTCCTGCTGCAAAAGAGACTGAGGAAAATGGGAAGATAATGACTTTCAGACCACCCAGACACAATAACTGAGGGAGATGAAGGCAGCTAAAGAAAATGAAAGGCACTGGAGCACTTACTTGAGCATCCAGTTCCCTAACGCCAGGTCTTCCCGGGTCATTTTTAATAGACTCGACACGTGCCAAGTAACCTGCAAAGCTCTCTCGACGTTTCTCCGGCACGCTGACCACGATGTGCCTGTTGTTATCTTTTGCGAAACAGCCGAAAGCCGAGTTCATAACAACAATATCAACTTTCTTCTTGATAAATATCTGGCTTAGTTCCTGACCTTCCCAGATTTCTCAGCTGAATTTCTCTTCCTGCTCTGATGATTCATTCCAGCGAGGCTTAGCACTGCCAGCCCATCAGCTCTATCCAAACTACAGGCAAAAGAATTCAGGCAGGTCCATCTACTGCTCTTCCCCATCCTCTACTGCATGAATCTCATTCTTAGGCCATTTTTAAAGGACTCAATTAATGACAAATGGTTTATTGACCGCAGAGGTCCTTTTCTTCTGCCAGATAATTACATAAAGTCACTCAGATGCAGTTTAGCCTGGACCATTTCAAAATATAAACTCAGCCACTTTACAAGAAACTGGATTTGACTGATGGATTTTTTTTCTCCCCCCTCATCTCTGGAACTATGAAATGATAATGTGATGAAGAGAAACAGCAAAGCCTGTATCTGTTAGTGACACACCCCCCCCCCTTTAGAGGTAACTCTAGAGAGTCCCCCCAAAGCAAACAGCAATGACCTGCTTAATCTAAAGCAGAAGAGCTCACATCAAACGCCAGGTGTGAGCTCACCTATAACAGAGAAGTGTGAACCACCTGCAAAGGATGCTAGTGTGCTGAGAACTGCTGAGGGTACTGAGATATCACATGAGACATTGTAAGCCTAACAAAAATATGAAAACATAAAAGTCTGGTTCAAAACGGGACAGAGTCAAGTTTTGAATTGAGAGCATCCACAAATAACTTTCCTCTCACTCTGGTTAAAGGTGGAAGGACAAATCCAGGTTAGTTTGTCTTTTACAGTGTGAAGAGCACGCGGAGAGAAGGACACTCTCCTAAAACACCTGCCAGCATTTGCCAGGAGAAGCAAGGAGAGGAAGGAAGACTGGTTTAAGTTGTGTGTTGAACATCCCAAGCCTTCTTCCCTTGGTCAGCAGGAGGGATTTAAGAATACCAAAAGCATATTTGCAGAAGAAAAAAGAAAACATCCTCCCAGCATGTTCAACCTCGTCACACAGAATATTGAGGTCTCGTTGCACTGACCTCACTCCGGGGTGTGGGATGCTCTTGACACAGTCATGGTTTCTGCTCAGAGGACATTCACCTTCTGTCTGCACCTTTGTATTTTCATCGGTACCAACCCACCCCACGCTGCACCAGCACGTGCTTTGCAGGTCTGAACATCCTCTACCAACATCTCACGTCCTTCATGGAAACTGAAGCTTTCTATTGTGAAAGCTGCTGCAGAAATGGTTTGCTGGTCCTGCAAGCGCTGTCTGCCAGCGGTTTTGATGGGACAAGCAGGGCTTGGACTCCGTGATTTTGAAGGTCCTCTCCAATCTAGGCAATTCTGTGATCCTGTGGTCTGCCCAGGGCACCCTGGGGAGTCACCCAGCGCTGGCAGGACGGGCACCACCGGTTACGCTGCCCGTGGCCACACCGCAGGGGAGGAGAGCTGGGAAGGGCGCAGGGCTGGGAAGGGTGCAGCACCCCAGACAGGGCACAGCACTAATGAAAGGGGTCGAGCAGCCACCGCACAGCGTGTCACCCTGCACGTCCCCTGCCCTGCCTGCCCTCAGCTGAGGTGAGCCCAGGCCGGGCTCGCTTCAGCCCTGCTCCCATCCCATCGCTGCACTAAGCTTAACTTCAGCTTTCCCCTCTCCTGGGGTTTCTCCAGCCAGAGCCCCCCCTGTTTTGCCCTTTCTGTGGGTCTGGCTCGCTGAGTGAGCTGATCCTGCTCCCCACAGCACATCCCCACGGTGCAGGAGACCTGCTCAGCATCTCGGTGCCACAGGGCTGCACGCTCCCACCAGTGTTTAGGGCTGAGGATAGAACAAGCTCCAAGGCTTGTGAATTTTTTCTTGAGCTTTTCAAGACTCAGGATTCCCATTTTGCACAGGAAAACATCCACCTTGCACACACAGACCCAAGAGCAACCTTCCCCTGCCTCTCCTGCAGCATCCTCTCAAACACAGCTGGTATTTGAACAGATGCACTGAGAATCACTGAAGGACAACAGCAGCACCAGGAGTGAACTGTAGTAGATGAAAATTGGAAAAAAAAACCCCAAACAAAACAAAAACCCCAGAAGTTTTGCTTTATTTTATGCAATACACACAATATTATATGTAACCAGCTACTAAAGTGATGTGAAACTCAACAACAACAACAAAAGTGCTTTCCAAACACTTTCTCTACATCCCCATTCCCTCATTTCCCTGGGTCACTGCACTGTACTCACCACATTATTTATATAGATATGTTGCTACGAAAGCATAAAAATATTTGACCAAAGATAACTCCATCTCTAGGCAGAAAAAAAGGAATTCAAAATAAAATTAAAAATTAACAACTCTAAGGAGTCACCTATTAGGTAACGGCTTTTCAAACAGTGGTTCAATCTTCCTCCAGGGAACAGCACTTTACCATCTACTCTTTTTTAATTATTTATTTTAGGTTCTTTACAGATGAAAAAAGCTTTGCTTGCAGCAACGTTTGCTCTGGACTAGGGATAAACCACATGCTACTGGTCAGCTTCTCTAGCACCTTCCTTTTGTCCCTAGTGATACAGAAAATAAGCATCACTCCAACCAGGGATACAACAGGGCAAAATGACTGTCTGGACCTACACATGATGTGTCTCCCGCAGTGGAGTTTTCCTATATAAGATGTATATGCAGCCTATATATTTTTTATACTACCTACCAGAGGTTCTCCAGCTCAAACAGAGCCTGAATTCTGCAAACATTCAGCAGAAAAGACTTGGAGAAAACAATATTGGTTTCATGAATTGAGAATTTAAAAAAAAAAGGCATTATATTATACTGGAGATCAGGAAACTGTAGCGTGAAAGCTTTAATTGTCTCCAACGTCAGTAAATGCCAGCAATGTTCCACGGAGCACAACGCAGCCTTGAAACCCAGGGGAAAACCGGTGCTACAAAAAGTGGATTGTGTGAATACAAAAGTTGTAAGATTGATCTGAATGCAGCCTTAATATTTTGCTCAAGCTGAATATACAGTCACTATACGTGACTATTCATGCCTACACATGACTATTCTTCTGCTGGAGAAATGATGGCTAAATAGAGAAAAATATGTTTTCAAAGAAAGAAGTGCAGAAATGGTCCAACTGATACCAAAAGAATCAATCCTCAGTGAAACAGCACTGATTTATTAAAAGCCATCCACTGCTTCAGAAATAAAGGTTTAATTCATGATAATTTTTACATATTACCCCCTAAACGTGCCGAGTGGCTTAGAATGATACACAGCCCCAGCTTACAAGGTTTAAGCCAGCCTGTATTAGGGGTTGCACCTTGTAAAGATCATCCTCTCTTTATCCCCCAGCACGGTTTTACCTCGCTGTGTCACGTCCTGCAACTCCTCATTCCTACAAGACTAAACACTTCCAACAATTCCATCTGCAGAGTCAGTTTCATAACCCATCAAATCTCTTTATATGGTTTACAAATCATCAGCATCCATCCTGCAGCTCCGAGTGCTCGAGTTACATCCGATTTGACTAAAATGAACAACTAAATAAAAATAATGCTGAGGGGAAAAATATTACTAGTTATATTGGTACTTCTTGATGGCCACTCCCATCCTCTTTTGGATGAGGGGAAAAAAACAAACAAACAAACAAACTGAAGTCAGCTGAACATGCTGTTTGGTTAGGAGCATCCCCTGCTGCAGCAAATCTGTGATTAATAATTATCAGAGCACATCTACCAACCCAGACATGCCACATTCATTCCCTGCAAGAAGATTTCAACAGCTTCTACATTCTTGGCTTTATTTCCCAGGGCATTTATTTGGGACAAAGCGCCTGGATGTGAGTGCACTCAAGTGTATTTCTCCAAATTTTGTTGAAGCTGCACAGTTGGACTCAGCTCCTCATCCGTAACGGCTCTCCTGGAGCTTTGCAACCAGTTTCCCCCAGTTTTGAGCCCAGCATCACTTCTCCAGGGAGGAGGGAAGGGGGAGGGAGGAGATGGTTTGTAGAATCGTAGAGGTTGGAAAAGACCTTTAAGATCGAGTCCAACCATAAACCCAACACTATCAATTCCACCTCTACACCATGTCCCTCAGCACCTTGTTTACCCGTCTTTTAAATCCCACAAGGGAAGGTGACTCCACCACCTCCCTGGGCAGCCTGTTCCATGCCTGACGACCCTTTTGATGAAGAAGTTTTTCCTCATATCCAAGCTAAACCTCCCCTGGTGCAACTTAGTTTTGAAGTTGGATACAGGGCTCTTTTTCCCCTGACACTTGGCAGACGAAGCCAAACTCCACATTCTTGCTCTAGTTTCTCACTGAACTCGAACACCAAGCCTGAGCCAAGGCCAGCCCTTTTCTTTGCTCCTCTCCCCAGGATGCCAGACACCAGCCGGGGTGAGCTGCAGAGCTCTTCACAGAATAAGTTTGGTTGGAAAAGACCTTTAAAGACCATCAAGTCCAATCATAAACCCAACACTACCAATTCCACCTCTAAACCATGTCCCTGAGCACCTCATCTGCCTGTCTGTTAAATCCCACCAGGGATGGTGACT